TTCTGTGTTTACGCAGTGCCTAGCACCATGCTCTCCTTGGTTCCATGTCACAATTAGGCATTAGCACAGTAAAATAATCTTTATTAGTAATAATAGTGCAAATTAATAACAGGAAGAGTGAACGAATAGGCAGGGCTTCGCTTTCTCTGCTTTGCTGTCCTCTGGGAGATTTGTCAGGCAGATCTCTGTTCCAGCAAGGCAGTTCTGCAAGGATGGAGCAGTGATCCACCGCTCTGTTGTCTGTAAGTTTCATAGCAGCTAAGTAGCACTGACTTCCTCTTGTAAGAGGCTGCGTGGAGGATCTGTTACTTAAGTGCATTCATGAATTAAAGAGTTCTTCCTCCATGGAGTCTGTTTTGCTAACGCCTTTCCTCTTTACAGGCTGAGAACATTTATTTCATTTACAAAATTATTGATTGAATTATCTTATTTACTAAGTGCAAATAATGATCAAACTTACTGAGCTGGATGTCGAAGAGTGAGTTTAATCAGCCGTGTCAGACATACTGATCTACTGAAAGGCAGCAAGCTTTGGGGTTTCACTTAAAAGAGAGGCATGCCATGAGGTGGAGAAGAAATGATAGATCTCATTAGGGACAAGGGCATGGGCATTCCATTTTGTGTTTCAGGTTTATTTTTACCTGGACGTAATTAATTCAAGAAGCTAGTTTCACAGGTGTTATTTTTAGATGGTCCTGGACCTATCTGAGAAACGGGAAACTTGTCATTTCCTCGTAGCTGGGCTGCAGTGAGAAGAGCAAGAACAATGGCTTTCTTGGGGGGCAGTTGAAGGCTTGGGCGTTCTTACACAGTACCACTGGAGACTGGAGTTCACGCATGGAGAACAAGTATTTTGTGTGCTCTGAACACAACAGAAACACTGTGTTGGGACTTAAATAACATGTAGTCTTGTTTCCCAAGAAATTAGTGCACGCCAACAGAAGGCAACTCCATAGCTCCAATCCCAAATCCACTGTGTGAACTGATACAACCTCAAGTACCTTTGGATCCCATGAGTGACAAACAAATCTGAACATCTCTTTCTGGTAATGGGATGGCCCCACTAAGAATATCACAGCTAAGTTAAGCTGATGTTGGGCACTCAGCAGGCAGTTAAATGATCTTGCCCTGCAAGTGCTACTTTCTACAGTTTCTTCTTGACTTCACAGATGAGATCAGTGGAAAGGAAGATGGGGAGGGAGAAGCATGGAGATTGCAAAACATGCTGAGAGAAATGTACTTTTCCATGCATGTCTTGCTTGCTGGACTGCACATTCCTCTTCCCCTGATGACAGTATTATGTGCTGGGTTTAGCTGGTAGCTAGGCAGCTACCCAAAGCAACAAATTCAGGTGCCAATGAAACTTTCCATTGACTGAAGTGGGTTCAAGGGCAGCATCAGCAACTCACAATTCAGTCTCTTCTGAGGCCACAACGCAAGGTCCCATACAATATTTTTAACTGCAGATTATTCCAAAATCCCTCTCCAAACATAATCTGCACTTCTTGCTGCATATCTGTACCGAGGATTCAGAAGGAAAATGGGTTATTAGTACCTAATTTACATTTTATGCTTTATTCTTCCTGGCAAGTTAAATCTGTGGTCAATGGTTCAGCCCCAAATGGCCTTTCATTACTCAGGCCGTCCAGACATTCATAACCATATGAGTCCTTACCAAAGAGGCTCATATTTGTGCCAGAAATTTTGAGAGAGGAGAGAGCTCATGTGGATTGTGCATAATGTAAGGACTAACTGGAATTCAAGGAAAGTAAGGTAATATTAATCCCTGATAAATAGATTATTAATTATTACAAAACATAAAATTGCACCAAACATTGCCAAAACCTTGTAAAGTTTTTCTTTTCCTTGAATTTTGCTGTTTCATATTTGCTTATTTAGTCTGAAAAAGAATTGTCTGGAAAAGAAGCTATTTTTATTTTGATTCCCTTATAACCCTCAAAGATAATAGCATCACTGAATTTTCCAATCCAGCCTTCTGAACTCAGTGGAACTGCTCACAGATCAAGGTCATAAAAGATCATCAGGCAGGCAGGACTGGCTCCGTAACACATAATAAATAATAAATATGTTCTTCCCAAAGTCAAAACTTGTAAGGATTGCTGTTGCTTGGAGGCTGGGTAGCACGGTCCATCTTAAAGGTTGCCTAATATTGCACATTATAAAATTAAGATATTGACAGAATTATGTAGGATGAAATATTTCATGCTAGATGTTTTCTGTGCTGTGGGTTAGGTTTCTTTGGCTTCTGTTTTGTTTCGTTTATTTATTTTGTTTTTACTTGATTTATTTTGGGATGTTGCTTTTGATTTTATTTTTTATTAGTAGAAATAGGCTGAAAACTGCATTGAGAAATACAAAGAAAGGTCATCAGTCCAGCAAGTAACAAGCACTGTAGTCTTGAAAGTGAAATGACACCACCACAGCTATTCTCCTAAATACTCAAGATTTTACAGAGTCTAACTGTATTTTGCTGCTATTCATCTACTTACACATCCTCTGAGTCAAAAGGGAAAGAGGGGCCACCTCGGTGTATTTCAGTGAAAGATCCCATAAAGGAGAGTCATGATCTAGAGAGACCCTAGGAAAAAAACCACTGAGGAGGGAGGAAAGGGGAAACACCAGCAACAAGATAAGAATTGCAAATACGTTGTCAGTAGGAAATCCCAGCGAGGAATCAGACACGAGAGGCAGGTGTGAGGTGCTGGTGAGGCCAGGAGGCAGTGTGTTAGAGCCAGCAGCAAAGGGAATTTTGGATGGGCAGAGCAGCTGTGTGACGCGCTGGGGAGCTGGACACGGATGCCCTCTGGTCAAACTAGGTCTTATGTGATGACAGGCAAGTAACTTAAAATGAGTTTTGCACAGTTGGCCTTTAGGTGTACAGCTTTCATTTTCTGAGTAGTTGCCTTTGAGATTTTTGGGTATCCATACTAATATCTGCAGCTGAAGCTAATGGAAGATTGGCTTTGAACAGATTGAGTTGTGTATAAGGTTAAGTACACAGAAACAAGTTGCACCAATCAGTGAATACTTCTCACTTCACTCTTCAGATATTTAAGTTCACTATCTATAAAATTGGATTAATGACATCTCCTAGAGGTGATGTGAAAATGGGTCCATGAATAGTTGTACAGTATTTGAAGACTACATGGAGAATGCTGCAGAAAGATCCGTGGGGAAATGAATCATTCTGTCTCCAGAGCAGGCCTGCTAGTGCGCAGTAAATAAAGTCTAGGGCCACACATTGAACCAGAGGAGAAAATGAAATACTGAATAGCTGCTCATTAAGCAAGCACTGTCCGTTCTGTGTGCTGAATGGGGCAAAGGTCCTGTGGGAAAAAAAGTTTGCAGTGATGTAATTAAAGACTGTACCAGAATGCATGCACAGTGAGGAATGGCATTCAGGCTACATGGGCCACATTAATTTAGGTTGTTCCTAGGTTTTGTGGCTTAACTTTGTAACCTCAGTCATGTTCCTTTAATGATCTGGGGAGTGTCAGTGCAATGCTACAGCTGAATTCTTCATTGTGGCATATTGTGCCTTATAAAAATTTTCTCTAATCAAAAGTGAATGCGTTGTATTACTTCCTGTTTGCTTCCCATGATGCTGTGGTTAATTGCTTTTTTCCTGCGGGTGGAATAAAGACTGTTAAAGTCTGATGGCTGCAACCATGGGCTGCTTATTCAATATGGCATGTAAGCAGCAGGGATTTCCTTGTCCCTGGCTAGAGACCGGCATACTTTACCTCTTCCATGCAAGTAGGATGAAATTAATCAGTGTTGGTTTTCTCAGCAAGCAATGAAATTTCAACCGCTGCAACATTGGAGAATGAAGACTCCTCAAAGGGACCAAGAGAAAATGCATGAATGAGAAGTTCTTGCCAAGGCATGAACACTACATTTGAGTGTGTCTGAAATGTTGGGCGCAGAGAGTAAATAAGCCCCATGACAAGTCTAGCATAAATACCAAGCACTTCCATGGCAGGAAGCCCATACTTTCACCAGCCTTGGCATCGCAGTGAGGATAATATTTTTGCAAGGATGAACTGCACTCGAACAATGTCTCTAATGTTTCAGTGTCGGCGCAAACATGCTTTCCTTTCAGATCAGCCATGTGGCTCTTCTTTTCCATCCCTTTTTCCCTTTTCCTTTCATAGAAGCACATTTAATGTGGCTGCTGAAGAGGAAATCCCTGTCTTCAGAAAAGTTCCTGGGCTCACTTTGTGTCTCAGAAGACAGTGCACCCCAATGCTAATAGTGTGGGTGTTGACTGTTAGCTGAGACTGATGGTTCTCACAGTGTTCTTATAGCTCACCATTATAGGAGAATATGCCTATCTCTAGAGATGTAATTTCGTGTGGCAACGTTGACTCCTGTATTTTGTGAACTTCTATAAGCTCACTAATGAAGTGGCAGTGTAGCAATGCAGCTGGGCTACGGAATATTGCTGGCAAAGTGACAGATTGCTCCAGCACTTGTTTAAGTGCTGGAGAACATGTAGGGAGCTCACTCTGTGATGTATTTCTTCAGATCTAGAGGATGAGGGATGTTGAAGTATCACCTTCCACCTGGGAAGTAAAATTTCTGATTATATTTTCAGTTTCTAAACACAAGGTGGGCAGCCCTTTTTGGAGGTCTTCTTAACTTTGTCTTCTGTTCTCCAAAATTCTTTCAATAGCTCTGGAGATGATAGCCTGGGTTTCTGGTTTTGCAGAGAACACCAACATTTTGTGTTGCAGAACGTTTGTATTTGCATGTTGAAATTTAGAAAAAAAATGTTTTGGGGAAAAAAAACCCCATTTCATAAGGATATGACATTATTCATAATACACTGTGAAACTAAACAAAAAAAGATAAAAAAAACAGAGATAAACTGAAAAAATACAAATATTTGAATAGCTTTTAGTATTGCAGAAATGCTCGCCTAGTTTCCCAATGACAACCCATTTTGTTAATAAAAATGAATCAGAAGGTCTCTCTAAAATTGCATTTTCTTTGTAGGCCTGCATAATATTGTTCACAGTTCTTGGGTATGGACACCAGCTGCCATGCTGTCTCCATCCATCTGAGAAATACAGTTCAAAGAGACCCTCAGTACTGAAGACCTTTTTTAAGAGGGAGGAGAAAAATTTCCATTGGCCATCCCCTGTTGCACAGGTTCTCTTGGTGTATTTGAGGTTTCTAAATGACTTCAAAATCCCTTTTCTGCTGTTCATTCCACTTTCAGTCAGCAGCTCAGCTCCCTCACACCCACTCAGACAGGGCTGTCATCTAGCAGGCAGTCAGCTCAGACTGGGAATACAAAGCAGGTCAAAATCAGTGTGTGGATTATTGCAAGCAGAACATCTGTAGTTAGGACAAAGACCCAGTGAAGTGATAACTTAGCAGCGTATCATTAGTCAGTGATTTTTTTTTTGTATATTGTCCCTTTGATTATTTAGGTTAACAGTGGAGCTTATTGTGCAGTAACGTTCCTTCTTTATAGGTTGGGGTTGAGAACTGCTTCCAAACATAATTTGCCTGCTCAATATTGAGAAGTTTTGTTGTGCTTGAAGTCTGGCATTTCAGAACATCACGAGGAAAAGTTCAGAGAAAAAAAGTAAGCTTAGCAGTGAAGTAACAACTAAGACATCGAGCATTTTGTTGAAGGAATCATTAATAAAAGGGCTGAGATGTTTAGACCTTGCAGTGACTATTGAATGGCATGCACAGCCAGTAACCTCTGTGAATACCTTTAATATGTGCTCGCAAGCAAGGTGTGCTGCTTCAATATGCATTTGCAGAGTGACTGTGCTGGTGGTTATATATGTTCTGCCATTTTACTGACCTGGGTAAAGGTTTAGTTTAGATGGCTGCTTCGATTTCTAACCAGGCTAGTTTAGAGTCGAAGAGTAGTTTTGCAGAAGTCTTTTCGTCTTAAGCAAGCGATTCACAAGATGTCTCCTTCAGTTTCCTGGAATCGAGATGTTTATTTTGTGCTATGTACAACAGCAACAGTTCTGTAGATTTCATAACCTTGAACATTCAAATTACAACTTTCACTGAAATTTTCTTTCAACACGTATTACCAGAATATCACCAGAAAGGAGTCTAAATAGCAGCACTAGACAGAAAATAAGTTAGGCATTTCGGTCGAAATCTCTAAGACTGGACAGAAAAGTCCCAAATGAAAAAAATCTCAGTAGCTACCTTCTTTTAGTACAAGCCATCCAGTTCTGTCATCTCAATCCAAAGTAGAACAAAATGAGAACAACCAAGTGTTTGTTCTCCACGTTTCCCAGGGCACTTCTGAGGTGAGCTTTCATATTTCTTTGAGGGATTTTTTCCATTCCTCTGACCTTGCCGCAGAGACATTGTTGAAAGTAGCTGCAGCAGATAACGACAAACTCTCTCTCTGGTCAGCGCAGTAGTCGCAGCGGTGGTGTGAGGAGCCTTTCCCCTGGGGCTGCAGAACAAACGCCGCATTCAAGCGCTGGGAAGTCTTGGTGCTGGTGCATCTTCTGTGATCCACATGGAGAGGTTTGCAAGTCCACCGCACCCGGAATAGCGTTGTGACCAGCCTCGAAGACAACAGTTCAGACAGTGTGCTCAGCAAACCTCATCAAAGGCACTGATCCAGGGGCACATGCTTTCTGAGTGTAACTTATGGGAACAGCAACCAGATTTAACTAGTCGTTTGAGTTTTTTTATTTAGCAGAAGATATCTGTCCGCCTGTCTATCAGTCTTCGTGTTCTTTTTTTTCTTTCTGTTCCCTGTCTGTGCACTGTTATTCTAACTGGATGCCAAATGCAAAATAAAGCATGTGTTGAAGAACACTATACCCAACAATTTCAGTTTAGAAAAGATGTTAAAATACTCACATTGCACATTCACAATCCAGATTTCCTGGCCATTAATCAAGGTGCATGCATTTCCACTGTCGTGCTAACTGAGAGACATACTGAGTGTTTTATTCATTTAAACTGTGTTTGGCAGAGGCGGGAGAGACAAGCTTGATGAAAGACCCCCTGGAATTGATGGGAATCTTTCCGTCCCCTTCAGCAGGCCTCACATCACCTTCATGACTTGTAACAATTATTTATCTTTCCCTGCACCCAGTACTTCATGCAAAAATAAATTTCTGCTTCTGTCACTTAAAGTGGCTCCAGCACTAACAGCAAGCTCCATCTTCTGGAGGCAAACAGGCTCCTGACCCAGCAGCATCTGCAGGCTACACTGGAACTCGGGGCTTGTTCAGTGAGCCACGTGGGAATGAAGCAGTTGTCTAAATGAGAATGTTTTAGATGATGCAGAGCTTTCAGAGGAGGGCTGGAATGATGTGCCCCTGGTGGGGATGTTTTCCTGACAAGCATGGAGGGAATGGATTCCGTTAGCATGAGAACTTGTCTTCCACTGGAGAATTCCTTAGGGTCAGAGCAGAGCATTTGCTCTCCCTCCTGTAGCAAGGCTGGCTTACCTAATGTCTTCCCAGCTACTGTGGTCCACCTCAGGCTCTGCACTCCACTCCTGGTTTTGGGTGCAGTGGCTGCACTGAGCACGCAGTGTCTTGTGTGACCCTCCTGCTGCTGCTGCAAAGAGGGTGGGTGGGTTGTTATCCTTCCTGCCAAGAGCTTTGTCCAAAATCAACAAAGCCACATAGGCATTCTGGTTCAGATACTCGTGCAAACATATTTATGCAACTGTTTGCGGAATTTGACTTTCAAATAAAGTTCTGTGAGCAAAGTTTCAATACAGCTGCTTTCAAAAAACAAATGAGCAGATCCGTATGTATCACCAAAGTGCATTTAGCTGTGAATTTGTTACAATATTCTCCAAACATTTTTTCCATACTGATCCAAGTCTAAGGTTTGGACTCCTTCCATCTTCAGTGTAATTCTGCTGTGATGTGTGGACTTCAGCCCTGGAGCCTAATACCACGAAAAGAGTGGAAATAAGCAGAGTTATACAAAGCAAACACTGTCTGAATCTGAATAATTACATTAGATGTTCAATGATCAGGAGATTAAATTTTGTTTATTTTTTAAAAAAGCAGCCTACAAGCAGAGAAAATTAAGTTGGCAGGGCTTAATACCAGTTTGGGGTAATTCCATTGTCTTAAACAAGCTTGATTGCATTTGTATTTTTAATTAATTAAACTTGGATAGTTGGTGCCAAAACAACGTTCACTGTGATAGCATAGATGAGGGTCTCCAAGTTTCTTATAGAAAATCCGAAATTCAAGGGCAAAAAAAGCAGCCAAGGCCAAAAAATGTATTTTTCCCCAGGGCTTACTAGGCAGGTCTTGAGTTTCTGCAGCTATGAAGTGCTGGGTTTAGCCACAAACTGGGAAGAGCCGTTCTTCAAAACAAGGAATTTGTCAAACCATTGTCCTAACAGAAGGTGTGACACGTCCATATTTTATTAAAAACAGAGAAAGCAGATGAAATATTTCTTGTCCGAGGGAGCGCGCTTTTGCCACCAGGAAGCTTCATCGCAGCCTTGGCTCCGGCATCGCAGTCGTGCACCTGTGCTGCACTGGCCCTGCCAAGACAAACACTCTCCAGGACAGGGGCTGCATCGTCATTTTTAATCTCTGTGAAGTGCCAGGTGAAGTTATGGAGCAGTATAGCAGTTAATGTATAAAAAGACTCTGCTGTGTTCTCCTGGATTAACTTTCCGCTCCGGGGCTTCGCGTCGCACGTAAATAGCAGAGAGCCACAGGGCTATCCAGCAGCACTCTGGGCTCACGCACTTTAATAGACTTATTCTGGCCACACTGTTTTGAGGTAGGGCAGTGCTATTAGCCCCGTGTTATAAATACAGCATGCCACTGAGGTCTGCAGGATGCAGAATATAATTTGTACTGGTAACTGAATTCCCACAGGAGTCTAGCTGCTTGTATTAGGCTTTTGTAACATGACTTACTGCCACAGTTCCTGGGAATTTTTGAATGAAGCAAAATGAGGCATTTTTATTCCTGTCTTGTATTTTCTAACCATCTGGCTTGCCTCACATCTTAAACACATCCCTGGAGACAGGGCAAATGCAGAGTCCTCAGCATCCGAACAACAGGTTTCCATATGCACAACAAAACACAACAAATCAGCAACAACAGCACCAAAACTCAGAAAGCAGCAAAAAAGCACACAAGAAAGGACAGGTAACTTCATTTCCATTGCTTCTTCCCACGCCTGAGCAGTCGCACCGACAACGGAGTCCTTCACTGGGTCACTGCGTATGTAGTTGGCCAGGTGCTGCAGTTCGAGGAGCAGTATCCACGTTCCTTCCTCAGAAATGGGCCCAAACTTTCAGTGTCTGAAAGAAAGAAACCTGACATGTTTCTCACTGAAAATATCTTGAGTTTCCAACGAAGTTTATGAAGTTCTGACTGGCTGTGAGATCTCCCGTAGTGACGAATATAGAGAAATCTGAATGTAATAACCGGGTGTGCAGAAGTGTTAGCGTGGCCAGCCTTAATATCTTGCTTTTGAACACAAGGATTATCTTTTGTATTGAAACGTATTTATTATAGATGGCAAAGTGACTTTTGTTCAATGTAAGAACTAATGTTCCAGCTTTCCAGCCTATTCTGAGATACAAGAGCAACACAGACACTGTTAATAATGCAATCAAAGCAAGTTAAATCCTTTTAAAGCATGCACAAAGGAGTCTTTGATAAGAAGCAACTTTCATCAGCCTCAAAGACTAGGCACTTTAGTATGTTCTATTTATTAAGTTTATATGTAGGCAGTGGTAATTTCACTTTCAGCTGGAGAAGAGCAGAAGTAAATTATAAGACATATTTATAAGCCCTAGCATTAGACTTACTGACTTTAAATGTATTTGTATTACTATAGCTCTAGATGGGGTTATTTGCTGTTTAAAGAAACAATGTTTTCCATTGGTACCCCAGCTGGACACAAAATATTGCTGTATACTTGAAAGGCTGCGGTCTTTTTTTTTGACAAAAAGAATCAAACTGCTGAAAGTACAAACTGTACGATGGGCTGTAAGATTCTGTAGCATGTTTTTTATTCTTGCCTTTCATTCTTGCTTTTGTTCTCCTTACCATCGAGTGCCCCTGTAAGAGAGCTCACGTGTAGAAAGCAGAGATGTGCAAAAGAATAACAGATCTGGTTGGGGGTTTGGGCTGGGTTGGTTAGAATCTACTTTCGTAGAATTCCCCCTCAGTTTGAATGGGGACTGAGACATCAGTCATGTTGCAAGTTTGAGACAGCTCTACTGAAGTTTCTACCAACCCATGGCTGGTAGAATCACTCTGACAGGCCTCAGCACCATGGACATTTTCATTTTCAGTGTGCCAGCCATCTTGCAAAGGTCTACTTGCCAGTTTGGGCTTTGCTACTGCTTCCTATTGTCCAGCTTGGGATCTCTTTTTCCAAGTTTTTAGTGTTTTTTTGTTGTTCTGGACTAATGAAGGCTGGAGGCAGAGCAGCAGATGAGTACTGGACTTGGAGCTTCTATTTCTGAGATTGTCATTTTTATTCAACTTAAAAAAGGAATTGGAAGAGGGAGGTGAGCTCTTTTCTCGGGTCCTTTAGAGACTTAAGCGTAAGCAGGATAAAGAACAACTGTCATTACGCCCCCTTTTGGGTTTCCAGGAGCTCGGGAGGAATTTCTGTTTGTTTTGATTTGTTTTTATTTTTAGGCAGCAGAATTTGGATTTCACTCAAATTATGTCCAGGCTGATTTAATGCCAATGGGAGAAGAGATCCAGAAGCCAAGAACAAATTTGCATGATGCATGACTTCTTGGTGATTCTCCATGCATCTCTTTGAAATACCTTCTCTTGGAACTCCAGTATTTTAAAAACGGAAGTAAAAGGCTGCTTGATAGATAGTACATAAGTGCCATCAGTAGGCACACCAGCAATGGCCAGAAGGTTGGAAAGATGCTCCTGGCCTTTGTACACTTCAGAAGTGAGGTTAAACTTAAGCACATCACACCTCATAGGCATTTTGCACGAGGAAGCCTTGCCAGCTGATAGCAGGTGTTGGATCAGCAGCCCTTCAAAAGCAGGGCTTCGGTCCAGAAAGAGAAGTACAACTTCCCAGAGCAGTGTGAGGAAAGGTTTCTCACTTAGACACCTGCAGGTTGCACCACGTGAAATTATGTCAGAAGAAACTGCTTTTCAGCCAAGGGCTGTCACCCAGTTTTCAAGCTCAACGCTATATCTATGAACAGCCACATTTATGGCAAATGTGAAAGAGGAGGAAGGACCTGATCTCTCTACAGACCATTGTTTCTGTCTGAAATTGCTAAGGTGATATTTTGAGTCTTCTGAAAAAGCCAGATATGTAAAAAGCAAATTAAGACAAAAAGTCTTCAGAAAGCACAGAGGGGTTTATATCTAAATGAAGTATTAGCTTTTTTCCCTTTTACTTGAAAGTCAGCTACTTCTTGGCAACTGCTTTCTTTCTTACCTCATTTTACTTTTTCCACTTCATCAACAGCGTGCTTTGACCAGTATGGAATGGTACTAATAGGACTGTTCTTCCTAGCTGCGTGCTTGGGAGTTTTTCAGGACATTTCCAAAATATGTTAGGGAACAGATATGCTATAGACCTTGAATGCTGATGGCATTATCTGCGTACAGAGGTGACTATTTTGGTATGTTCTGTGTGCTCTTTAAAGCAGTATTTTAATACATGAGCTATAAGGTACAGCAAAAATGAGTCCGTAGAATTTAGAGTAAATATTATTTCTCTTTAGAATTATTATATGATTTTTATATAAAAACTCTTCATAAACAATTTAATCTATATAATCTGCTTAGTTACTCTGCCAGGAAGATCATTCATTTTCATGC